TCAGGCAATCCACTCACCTCAGCCTCCCAAAGGTGCGGGATTACAGGCTGAGCCACCGAGCCCGGCTGAAAACTCCAATTTTGATTGACTTGAGACTGTCTTTAAAACGTCCAGTGAGCTAGCAAAAATAATTCTTCCTGGGCTTGGGCTCGGTGGCTCAGCCTGTAATCTCAGCACTTTGGTCGGCTGAAGCGAGTGGACTGCCTGAGTCCGTGGGCTCAAGACCAGCCCGTGCAACTTAGCAAGATCTTGTCTCTACAATAAAAATAAATAAATAAATAAATAAGGCTGAGGCAGAAGGATCGCCTGAGCCCAGTAGGTTGATACTGAGGTGGCCATGAGTGTGCCACTGCACTCCAATCTGAGTGACAGAGTGAGACTCCGACCCAAATAATAATATTAATTCTTTTTTATCATCATTATAACCATCACTAACATTATTTCAGAGCCTACTATGTGCCCACCCTAGAGAGGCACTTCACATTCAATTGCACAATAATCTTATAGGTAGCATTACTTCCAATTTAAAGATGCTGAAGCCGGGCTCGGTGGCTCAGCCTGTAACCCCTCACCTTTGGGAGGCTGAGGTGAGTGAATTGCCTGAGCCCACGGGTTCGAGACCTGCACTGGGCAATTTGGCGAGACCTCATCTCTACAATAAATCAAAACTTAGCCGGGTGTGGTAGTGCGCGCCTGTAGTTCCAGCTACTCGGAAGGCTGAGGTGGAAGGATGGCCAGAGCCCAGCAGGTCAAGGCTGCGGTGGCCGGGAGCGGCCACTACACTCCAGTCTGGGCGACAGAGTGAGACTCCAACTCAAAAAAAAATAAAAAATAAAGATGCTGAGATGAGGATGACTATGAAATGAGTATGACTATGAAGATTAAGCAGCACCCAAACTATAAGCATTAGAAGCCAAACTCAAACTTGAGACTCACACACACAATCCTGGGATTAGAGAACAACATCAGGTCATACAGGTGTACTTTCTGAGCTTGAAATGATTACAACTGGAAAACCTATGAGCTTTAATCCAGTTGAAATCTGATTACTATCATGAGTCTAAGAGCACCTAATTAAAAGCTTATTTTTCATCTCATGGGTTTCCAAAACAACTGATTTTATTCATTCACTCACTGAGGAAAAAGTCTCGGTAACACCCCAGCCTTTAGGATGGAAGCTAAGGGGCTACACCTTACATGTACTAGAAATAGACCAATCCTCAAAAGGACTGAAGGTCAGCTTCAAATCAGGTCAATCCTGTATTATTTAAAGGTAATCTTTGTCCCTTTCTTTAGTTTCTCCAGAAGAATAAGTAATACTCTAAAAAATATAAAATTCTAAAAAACCTGAATCTATTTCCTCAATTTCTCATACTCTAATGTCTACTAGTCAACCAAAATTAATCAGGCATGAAAAGACAAAAAGTAAAACTCACGGGGGCTTTAAGACACCTGACTAGAGCACTTCATGTCCTCTTCCTCCACTTAAAAGAAACAAAATAATGTACAGACCGTTACTCTGGATAGTCACCCAAGAGAGAACACTAGAGTTCAACAGAGAAGTGGTAGGAAACACCAGAAGCAGGAAGAAGAGAAAGGCAGTCTGCCTGGCCAGGATGGGCTGGGAGTCGGAAGTCATTTCCTAACAAGGAAAGGAAGTGTACAAGACTCCCAGTGGCCCCTTCCCCACTGTGGAAATCAATCAATCCTGGTCACGGAGAACCTCTCACCCTCTGAACACCTGAAACTAACAGAGAACTGCTGGGAGACCACAGGACAGCGCTGCTCCAGGGAGGGAGGCTGTGCAGGGTCCCCATACACTTCCTGAGACCTCAGCAGCTTCAGCAAGGGCCAGTTCCAATCTTTGCCTCCAGCAGTCTGCAGCGGTCCTGGGGAGCAGACTGGGAGCACTTTTGTAGAGTGACACATTCCCTACTCTGCAGCCCAGGCTGTGGCAACCAAGGTCAGGTCCACCCTCTCTCATGGCAGGGCCTCAGCACAGCTGCCACCATCATCACTCCTCACCCACTATGACTGGTACCTGCTCTCACTATTGGGGGCCTGAGCACAAGCCCACCAGCTGGCTTCAATACCCTCTCTACCCTCAAGACAGCACACAGTCGGGGTCCTGGGAATTGCCCAACCGAATCTACCACCTCGGATGCCTAAACACTCCTGCCAGAGACCTGAGATTGATCTTAAACTCCCAACAGCAATCACCTCAACTGGCACCTACCTGTAAGTGCCACCTGCAGGTCTGGCGACTGGCCCACCCAGCCCACTACCAACATCAATACATACTACTTGGGACCTGCAAAATCATCCTTTCACTGTAACTGCCATTGGCCATGCCACAAAGACTGCCTAGGAACCTGAGGACCTTCCCCCCGACCCCCCAGTCCACCACTGTCACTACTGGCACCCAAGAAAGCCACCTGGAAGCCCAAGAATTGGCCTGCCAGTAGCTGACAGCACAAGAGCCAGCACACACCCACCTGGGGTACAAAAACAGGCAGGCTCAGCCCACTGCTATACCACTGGGGACTGAAGACTGGCCCGCATGGCATCCCAATCTCTAGCACAACTTCACCACAGCTTTCACTAATAACTGCACCTTAACCCATCAGAGAAACCACAGGGAGCATTAACGTTGTTTATAGCAAACGAAATCATAGAGACTATACTACTACATGCATCTACAATCAAAGCAAGAGTACCCTCCCCATCCAATACCACAAATACATCTTCAGGAAAAAGTCCTTCCCTACAAAAGTAAATTCAAAATCAGGAAGAAGCAGCTGTTACGCCAGATGAGATATCAATATAAGGACACAGGAAATATGGAGAGAAAAAAAAAAAACAAGGAAATATGTCATCTACAAAGGAACCAAACAATTCTCCAGCAATAGATTTTTCTTTTTTTTGAGCTCCCGGCCATTGCAGCCTTGACCTGCTGGGCTCTGGCGACCCTCCCGCCTCAGCCTTCCAAGTAGCCGGAATTATAGGCATGCGCTACCACACCCGGCTGATTTTTTGATTTATTGTAGAGATGAGGTCTCGTCAAGTTGCCCAGGTGGGTCTCGAACCCATGGGCTCAGGCAATCCACTCACCTCAGCCTCCCAAAGCGCGGGATTACAGGCTGAGCCACCGAGCCCGGCTAATAGATTTCAATCAAAAAGAAATTTTCAAAATCTCAGATAAACAATTTAAAATGTTGATTTTTAAAGAACCTTAGTTAGATAAAAAGGAATTAAATATACATTTAATATATTATGATATAATATATCATATACAGTGCGTATAATATATAAGGTATATTTAATATGTATATTTTATATATATATGTGTAGGCACGCACACACACACACCAGTTTAGGCACTACAGCAAGACCTCGTCTCCAAAAAAATAAAAAAAATTAGCAGGGCATGATGGCACATGCCTGCACTCCTGACTACTGAGGAGAAAGAGGCAGAAAGACTGCCTGAGCACAGAGGG